ACGCCAAGCTTGCGCAGAGGTCGGCTCGCGTGTGAAGCTTCCTCGCGGATTTTGGTGCTGCCGCAGTGTGGTATGCTCTAGCTAAAGTCTAAATTTCTCACCCTACCATGTGTATCTGGGCGTAAAAAACATACCCTGCTGTGCCCTTGCATCGCGTTAACATACCTCTCGAGTTCCTGGGCAGTTTAGCCTCTGGTTCGCCCTCTAGAGCCCGTGCTGGGTGTGGAGGTCTGTTGCGCCGCGAGCCGCCTGATCCGAGGGGTTTCCACAGGGGGCTGCTTTCCCGTTGGAAGCGTTTTTTCTCACACTTANCGTGTTAACATACCTCTCGAGTTTTCTGGGCAGTTTAGCCTCTGGTTCGCCCTCTAGAGCCCGTGCTGGGTGTGGAGGTCTGTTGCGCCGCGAGCCGCCTGATCCGAGGGGTTTCCACAGGGGGCTGCTTTCCCGTTGGAAGCGTTTTTTCTCACACTTACTTTTTTTTTTTCTGTCGTGCAGCACTGGACTTGGTCCCGCTCGGCACAACCAAGATCAGACCTTCCGCCTCCACCCCCACCGCAAGGCTACCACCACATTACACTCACAACCGCTGCTAAACAATCATGGAGAACGATGGAGGTCAACGTACTTATGAGAAGGCTGGCCCGATTCAGTTGCCGGGTGTTCATGGCAACACGAGTCCTCCGGCGAGGGCCGCTCCCCTCGCCAGAGTTTCGGTGAACACACAGCACGAAGGCCAAGGAGCTCCTACTACTACTACCGCTGCCCCGCGGTTTAGTGATACGCGTCGCAATCATCAACGGCGTCGATCGTCCGCGACAGACGCATCACCGGAGCACGGTCCACAGGACGCACGCGCAGCATCTCCTCACGCTCCCACGCCGCTTGAAGCATCCCTAACCCCGTCACCTCCGCCTCCGCCTGTGCAGCACTCCTAAGATCTATGCCGCTCGCAGCATCGCCATCATCCTCGTCTCGCCGACTTGGTGTGTCACTCAAGAAGAACATGTAGACCGGTATGCTGCGGTTCAAAGGGCGCAAATGCACCATATCGGCAGCATGCATTGCACCGGGTCTGGCGTGCAGTGACGACTGTCTAACTGTCTTGCGGTACTGTAGCTGGCTCGCCATGGTAGTGTGTACCACGGCCGAGGTGTGGGTGCATAGCTAGCCTCACGGGCTGGTGCGGCATGTGTCCGGACAACGTCGGGAGTACCTCGGGGAGTATAGGCCAACCAGAAACTGTTCCCAAAAAGATAGATGCAAGCATGGAATTTGATATTTTCTGCGGCCTTTGAGGGCAATTCGTAAAAGCGAAACGTGAAGATTCAGTACGTATTCGAATCTGTGGTTTGTGCAGGCGTGTTGGAATTCGGAAAAGCGGGGATCGAAGAAAAGTAGAGACAGCCCTGGTGGCAGAAAGTTTTTGTGCTCGCGCTGGGCGAGAGACAAGCAGCAAGTGCATTTGAGAGAAGAAGAGGATTAGCAGAGATAGCAGCTTTGAGGAGCAGCAAACACGGAATGCCTTCTAGGATTTGATCGATTTTGGGATGGACGCCAATGAGGGGCAACCGGCGAGCGCGAACGCCGCGGCGGGCGCCGCGGCGGCCATTCCAGGCAACTCGGGGGACGGCAGTCCTCCAAACTCGGCTGCCGGCGGCGGGGACGACCAAAACAGACAGCAGCGACAGCGACTACAACAACAGCAGCAGCAGGGTCAGGCGCAGCAGCAGCAGCAGCAGCAGCAGTAGCAGCAGCAGCAGCAGCAGCAGGGACACCAGCATGGCCAACCGCAGCAACAAAACGTGGGCGGTCTGGCGGCAGCAATTCCGCCGCCGCCCATGATTCCCGGAGCACCCAAACCTCAGCTGATGCAACAGCAGCAGCAGCAGCAGGGGGCCGGGAACAACCTGAACGTCTTCTCGCTGCTACAACAGCTCGTCAATCAGGGCCACCGCCAGCAACTACAGATACCGTCTCTCCAGGAGGTGGTGGTAAACTTGACCGGCAACCGGCACCCCGCGCAGGGCGCCGCGGCCCACAACAATGCCCAGGGCGGTTCCAATAGCCAGTCCGTAGCCCTCCCCCTGGCCCAAGCGCCGCCGCCGCCGCAGCAGCAGCAGCAGCAGCAGCAGCAGCAGCAGCAGCAGCCGCAACCGCTACAACAGCAGTATCAACACCAACAAGTTCAGGCCTACCCCAGCCAGCACTACCACCAGTCGGCCGCGCCGCAGGGANCCAGGGCGGTTCCAATAGCCAGTCCGTAGCCCTCCCCCTGGCCCAAGCGCCGCCGCCGCCGC